CTTCTGCAAACTGAGAGGAGCCTCCCTGTGTAGCTATTGTATGTCTGTAGTGCTGAATTTAAAATTGTAATTAGCGTTTTAAGATAAGATTGAAGCTGGCCTGTGTGACACATTGCACCCACCCTACATCTCAGCTACCCAGGGGCTTGCACCGTCCCAGTTTGAGGCCGCTTTGCAGAAAAGCTAGTCTCTTGGAACTGTGAGGCATTTAGAAGTCAAAGACAAAGCTCTAAAGAAGTTAGTAGATTCCTCATTGGTAGGTGGTTTATATTCCCTCTATACTGACTTTGTGATTTGAGGACTGAAAACTTGGCTCTTGAAATGTTGTGATTAGAAACTGGGCAGATAATGTCAAGGGAGAGGTTATGGAGGAGTGGAGATTCCAAAGAAATTTTGGGGAGTGGGAGAGGGTGGCAAGTCTGGCTGCCACTGACCTTGCTACCCAACTCTGTTGGAAAGGCTTCTAGAAATGTCCGCTGCTTAGAATTTTAAACACCAAGTCTAAATCCGATTGTTCATCAGAGAACTTGGTTTTGAGATTCAGAAATCTCTGCCCAAGTTAAAAGTATTATTCTTTCCCACTCTTTGGATTAAATGATGCAGAAGTCTATTTGATTTTGTTTAATCTTCATTTAGTTATATAGGTCTTTCTGCGTGCACCCCGTGCCATACCAGGTACTGTGGAAAGATAATGATAAATATGAGCCATCACCTCTCCTAAGAACTGACAATCCAGTTGAGGTGATTAGATGAACAGACATAAAGTAAATCTCAAATGATCAAGATGTAAACTCCAGGATGCTGATAATAACCAGTATAATTATTGGCCATGTTGTTAAACTCTGGACTTGAAAACCAAGAGAAAATGTCACATTAGCAAAATACCAAGGCTTCAGTGCATGACCCTGAAAGAAAAGGTTAATATAGTTTTGAAATATGTCGTACACTCTTCCAATTAGTCAGCTTTCTCTGAAAGTAGGTTTTTTGGTTGTTAGGGGTTTTTTTTGTAACTTTGAGACAATTTTTTCCCTCTGGATCTGCAAATTATTCCTTATGGGTGCACACTTCCTGGTGTGTGTAATAGTTTTAGGAATTTAGCTGGTATTAGATTAAGTGGAGGCAGCATCTGTCATACTGGATTAAATTAATATTGCCAAGATTTCTACATGCACATCATAATGAGAAGCGATGAAAGACTTATACTGAAACAAATTATATTTCAGTGGCTTCAAAAATCAGGAACCATAAACCTACAGAAAACTCGAAATAGAAATAGTTGAAATAGAGTAAAATAATAGTATCATGATGCGTTTTTGTGTGAGTGTGTGGGTGTGTTTTTTAAATAATGTAACAAATAGTCATGGAGGGCCGAACATCTCCTTTTTCAGATAGTGTTGGATCGTTGGCTGTAAAGACCCTGAAGTTAGACATTTACTTACGTGTAGGGTTCGAGTGGCAACAGTGCAGGTGTTACCTGCCTGTAATCTTCCTCCTCTTTCCAGACTTTTCTATATGCTTGCTTCTAGTTTTCAAGATTCTGTACACAATTCAGAATTAATTGAAAACAGTAGAGCGTCTTAGTCAGAATAAACCTTCATCTGGCAAATAACGTTATGCTGCCAGTTAGTTCTCTTGATTTCTGTGGATTGTGCATAAAACAAGCCACAGTCCCTTTAGCGGCAGGCACCCAAATGCCAACAGTCTTGCAAAGACTAGAGTCTCCAGCCTCCCACTTACTTGCCTTCCTCACTGCGGTGTTAACGATTTGTAAGTGGCATTCTCATTCCCTTTTTTCTGTCCTAGCCTTCTGGATTTATGAGGACCTAATCCTGTGCCTTGCAGTGAATACTGCCTTACCATTTCAAAGCCCTTTCATAGGTAATAGCCTGTGTGTCCGTAAAAGCAAGTGGGAAGGCAGACAGTATCTTCCTTTTCCAATATATAAAGAAATGGACTCAGTGAGGTGCAGTGATTACTCACGGGCAGTCATAAATTGCAAGAATAGGACCTGAGTCCTGGTCTCTGGACTCCTAGCACAATGCTCTTTCTATTAAACCAAGTTACTTTTGTAAAGTGGTATTTCAGAGCCATATACCTCTGATATTTCAAGGGACAGTTGAACAACTCATTGGTATTCAATGAATTAATTGGTGTCCAATGATTTTAATTGTCAACCATCTTCAGTGTGAATCTCCACTTCCTTCCCTCTCAGATTCAGTCACTCCCTGCAAATAAGGATGGTCAAGGACTGCCTTCTATTCCCGGTTTCCTTTGTGTGTTTCAGAGTTTGTGTTTCATTTCCCAGCAGGGCTAGCACCAAAGCCTTCCTGAGGAGGGCGCTGGGACTGACTGACACACAGAAAGAGGGTTTTAGGGATTTGAACATATTTCTTCGTTCTCCGAAACATTTCTTCAGATGAACTTCATGACGAGTAGGAGAAACCTCTGAACTCACCAACCAGATTTTACTTATTCGCTTCATCATTTTAAAATCCACTCACCCTGAGTTTCTCTGAAATACGTTCTGCCATTCAACCAGCATTGATGGTGACTTAGAGATGGAAGCTCTCGTTTCCGGAGATTGGCTGCCCTGTCGCTTTTACACAGCTTCTTTATTGAGATGTATTTCGTATTCCATACAGCTCACCCTTTTAAAGTGTACACCTCGATGGCTTTAGTATTACTCTGCCATCTTTAGCGGACTTCCAATCTTGGTTTTGAAAACAGGCTGTGTACTGTGGAAAACAATTCCGTCTGGGTTTATGACGGAGTCAGAGTGTCTGGTCTTCTTTGGCACTATGGGGTGGGTGGAGCACACGGCTAGGAAGCCCCCTTGGCCTCTGGGGAGTCAATAGTCAGTCCTGAGGATTTGAGCTTCTGTTCTTATTGCATTGAGGGTGGGAAGGAGGGCTGCCTGCCCCTTCCCGAGGACAGTGCTTGCTGGAGAAGTGGCCTCTGATTGCTAGTGTCTGGTGATCTGACAGTGGGAAGAGAAGTTATTCAGGGAACAGGGGCCATGAGGGTCTTAGGGACAATGGGGTATCAGTGAGGGCAGTAAAGAAGGACTCTCCAAGGAGTCAGGATTGAAAAGTGGTCCTGCCACTGGTCTAAGCTGTGTGATGTAGGGCAGCCTCTCTGTGTCTCATTTTTCACATCTTTAAATTGAGGGTAATGACTGTACCTGCCTCATAGAGTTGTCATGAGAGTTAAATGAGATGACCCATGTGCAGTTTTTAGCTCAGCATTTGGAACCAACTAAGCGCTCGATGAATATTTTCTGCTGTTATCATTGGCTGTTTCCTCCAGGTGATTTATAACCTTCTTGAGAACAGGGACTGTTGTGTTTACCATTGATCTCCAGCCTCTATTGTCGTGAGAGACCAGAGTGTTGAACTGAAATGAGTGCATTCCCCTACTGCCCATTTATTCCCTCTATCTCTTTCCCCCAACTGTTACGTGGGCAAGAATTAGTCAAGTAACTGCAAAAGAGTATTAATTGTGTTTCATCCCATGGTCATCCGATGAAAGGAGTGGAGTTTCTGGGCACAATCAAGAGACCCAGGAATAACTTTGTTAAATGAGTCTGTGTTATATAATGGTATTTGCTGCAGCAGACTTGTGTATAATGACAGGTAGCTGGGTAGAGAAGAGGTGAGAGGCTGGCCAGTATGTTTTTATAGGAGATGCATAGGACTTGCAGTGGACTCTTCCAGAAGGGAAAGGAGTCTGAGAAATGTTAGTGAAGACATTTTTGATGGACTATATATAGGATGTGGTGAAAGAGAGAGAAGCAACGCAGATGCTTAAATTGCAAATCCTAGGCCCAAAAGACTAAGTTAACAGTACGACAATGATCTCAGTTCACGATTAGCTAAGTGTTAGGCATCAGCAAGACATCTGAGTGGGGAGAACCAAGGAGAGGGAACTAGATGCGCCTCCAAGATGAGCTTCTCCAGCCCCTCACCCCTGGAGAGGCGTCCCCTGAGCTTTCTTTATGCCTCTTGTTATTTTGGCAAGGGCTTGAGGCAGATCCCTGGCTGCACCTAGAGTCAGAAGACCTTGCCTGGGCTCCGTTCTGGATACAGTCCAAGGGAGGTGGAGTTTTCAGTCGATAGGAAACTGATATCTTAATAATAAAAATTACGTTTGCCACCTTCTATTCTGAACGTGTCACACATCCTAGTGAATAAATCTCGTGCAAATCATTGCTGTTCTCAAATACAAGGGCATCTGACATGGCTTTTGCTTTTGCAAACTGGCTCTAGTTACTAGTGGATCGAGGGACCAGTGCTCTGATGGCCTGTTGTGTAAGGCCTCAAGTTCCAGGTTAAGTCACTTACTAGCTCTTTTGGACATCAGTTTCCTCACCACCAAAAAAGAAATAATCATATCTAATTTGCTGGGGATTTTGAGAATTAACTTATTTTTCAGCACAGTGTTGATCAGAAGGAGAGGTGCTACATGAGAGAAATTTACAGTATGCGTTGCAGGATGGCAAATGGATTAAGCTCCATTTCCTGGTGTCCGGGACCTATTTATGCCTGCTTACAGCCTGTTGACAATTTCCTACTGCCTAATTGACCAGTGCCAGAAAGAGATGGTTCTGTTGGGTATAGAGAATTCTGAGAATGGAACAGCAGGGAGTCTGGGATCAAAGAGAACATCTCCAATATGACTGAATAGCTCCCAGTAGCTTTATTTCACCTACTGTGATCAGTTCTGGTATTTTCTTACACAAAGATTCCTTGAGGCTTCCCTTGACACTGCCCCAGCTATGCTAATATATCATGGGTCCAGCTGCTGGGAAGATATTCGCATGGATGATTTTCATAGGCACTATCTTAGACCATATCCAGGGCTGGACTCAGCCATATTGGTGCTATGATCACATATGTGCTCCAGAATAGTTTCCAGTGTGGGTCAGTTCAGTTTATGATCTTTTTTAGTCTTGATTAAATTTTATGCATAATGATTATAATACTTTATCATTTGTGTTGCAGTACTGGACACACTGGGTTTTTCCATAGTCAGAAGGATCTTGAGAAGTAACGCTAAATCTATGGAACAAAGAGGTATTTTTGTTTAAATTCAAATAAAGATTATGGGTACTAAACTCAGCCTTTGGACAATTATTGCTAATAATTTAAAGTTGTCATCAAAAAGCTCAGTACTCTTTTTGCCAACGTATGAAATTGTTTAACATATCTAAAAAGAAAAATAGATGTCCAAATTTAGATTATCTTTTTTCCTTTCAAATATAGGTAGGTTTTTTTGGTGGTATATGACTCCCATCCCACTACAAAGCTATCAGATTCAGAAACAAGGGTGACTTTATCTACCCCAGATGGAGATTTTATGATGTTTTATTTGCCGAAATTTTATGTGCTTAAAAACAATATGGGAATGGTGGAGTGAAGAGCTTGGCAAATTTTCTTCCCAAAAAGCAATGATAAAATTGGACAAAAGTATCAAAACCAACCATTTGTGGACTCCAAAAATCAACCACAAGCGTACAACAAGCTGACAAGCTTTTATTCAAGAAGAACTACTGAACCACAAGTAATAACAGTGGGAGTCTATGGCATTTTAGCCTAGGGCTGCTCTCATCTCCTTGTTCCCAGCTCCTTCAGTGTGGGACAAGCCATGAAAACCAGCAGGATTGTTGTCAGAGGGTGACCACTTGATCTGGAGCGGAGCAGAATGTGGAAAAACCCCATGATCTTGGGTATTGTCAGAAATATTAGTGATCTCAGTAGCAAACAGACAAGGAATACCAACTTTGCAGCTGGCCTGAGGTTGTGATTCTGGTTGGGGCATAGAAGTGAAAAACGAACAAAGGAATGAGAATTAAAATGGTACATTGTAACATATTTATCTGACACAAAAGAAGGCAGTAAAGGATGTACAAGGGAGCAAAAAAGGCATTAGACATTGTGGTAGGCAGAATAATGGCCCTGCAATATGTTCACATCCTAATTATTGTAATCTCTGAGCATGTTACCTTACATGGCAAAAGGAATTAATATTCCCTTTATTAATTGGAATTAAGATTGCTGATCAGCTGACCTTCAGCTAGGAAGATTAGCTGTATTATCCAAGTAGGCCCAATATAATCGCAGGGGTCTCTAAAAGTGGAAGAGGGAGGTAGAGTTAATGTCAGGTGATGCAGTGTGAGAAAGCCTCAACTGGCCATAGCTGGCTTTGACACTGTAAGGGGGCCATGAGTCAAGGAATGCAGGCAGCCTCTGGAAGAAAGAAAAGGCAAGAAAATGGATTCTCCTTTAGAATCACCAAAAAGGAACACAGACTTGCCGAGACCTTGCTTTTAGATAAGACTTGCATTACACTTTAACCTCTAGAGCTGTAGGATAGTAAATTTACGTTGTAAACCTCTAAGTTTGTGGTAATTTATTATAACAGCAACAGGAAACTGATACAGAATAAATAGAAGACAAATAGCAAAATGGTAGATGTAAATCCAACCATATCAAATTCCATTAAATATGAATTGATGAAACATGTAAATCAAAATCCATCTATTGTCAAATCATATAAAAAAGCAAGATCTAACCATAGCTGTAATGAAACACATTTTAGATTAGAAGACACAAATAAGTTGAAAGTAAAAGGATGGAAAAAGATATTCCATGCAAACAGTTATCAAAAAAGACTAGAGTGGCTCCACTAATATCAGGAAAAATAGAATAGAAAAATAGAATATAAGACCAAAAAATGTTATTAGAGGCAAAGAGGGATGTTTTATAATGAAAACATGATCAATTCTTTAGGAATACATAATAATTATAAATGTATATGCACTAACAACAGAGCCTCAAATACCTGAGGCAAAAACTAACAGAATTGAAAGGAGAAATAGACAATTCAACAATAATAATTGTTAACTTCAATACTGCACTCTAAATAATTGATAAAATAACTTCACAGAAAATCAAAAGGATATAAAAGAATTGAACAATGCTATCAACCAACTTGACCTAGTAGACATTTATAGAACGTTATACCCAAAGAAAGCAGAATATACATTCTTTAAAGCAGATATGAAAATATCTCCAGGATAGACGATACATTAAGCCATAAAATAAATCTCAATAGATTTTAAAAGGTTGACATTACAAAAGATATGTTTTAAGAACTCTGTGGTATTAATTTGGGAGTCAACAACAGAAAGGAATTTGGAAAATCTCAAATATTTAGAAATTAACACGTTGCTAAGTAACTCATGGATCAAAGAAAAAATCACAAGAGAAATTAGAAAATATTTTGAAATGAATGAAAATGAGAACACAACATACCAAATTTGCAGTATGCAGATAAGCAGTCTTTAGAGGAAAGTTTATAGCTTTCAATATCTATATTATAAAATAAAAATGATCTAACATAAGCTTCCACCTTAAGAAATTCATAAAAAGAGAGGAGACTAAACTCAAAGCAAGCAGAAGGAAGGAGAGATCAGAGCATAAATCAATGAAATAGAAAACCAAAAAAACAACAAAAAAAATCAGTATATCCAGGGATGAAAGCAGGGACATCACAACCAATCCTACAGAAATTAAAACACCTGTAAGGAAATACTATGAAAAACTTTATGCCAACAAATCAGATCTAGAGGGGTTCACAGGTGATTTCTACCAAAAATTTAAAGAATAAATAATGTTAGTCCTCCAAAAAATCTTCCAGAAAGTGGAGGGAAAAAAAAAAAAAACCACTTTCCAACTCATCTTATGAGGCCAGTATTACCAAATTATGATACCAAAACCAGACAAAAGTTATATAAGACATAAGATGAAGAGAGAACTACAGACTAATAGCCTTCATGAATATAAATGCAGAAATTCTCAATAAAGTATTAGCAAACCAAATCCAGCAACTTATGAAAAGAATTAGACACCATGACCCAGGAATGCAAGACTGGTTTAACATCAGAAATTCAACTAATGTAATACATCATATAATATATAATAAAGGATAAAAATCATATGATTATCTCAATAGAAACAGATAAAACATTTCATAAAATCCAACCAGGAAAGTAGGATAGGAGGGAAACTCCTTAGTCTGATAAAAGGCATCTATGAAAAACAGCTAACATCATACCTAATGATGAAAGACTGAATGCTTTCCTCTTAATATCAACAACAAGATCAAGGATATCTTGCCACTTGTATTCAGTATTGCACTGGAGTATCTTTTCAGTTCAATGAGAGAGGAAAAGAAAAAACTGATGTAAAGCCATCCAGAGTGGAAGAAAGAAAGGAGGTAAACTGTCATTATTCATAGATGACATGATCCTCTATGTAGGAAACCACAGGGAATCCACAAAAAAACTACTGGAACTAATGAACAAGTTCAGCAAGGATGCCGGATATAAGATCAATATATAGAAATCAATTGTATTTTATTACTAACAATGAACAATCCAAAAATGCAATTAAGAAAACAATTCTATTCACAATAGCATCAAAAAGAATCAAATACTTAGGAACAAATTTAACAAAAGTGAAAAACTTGTATTTCTAAAATACAGAAGATTCCTGAGAGAAATTATGGCAAGGTAAACCAAATCCATTGATTAAAAGACTCAATATTTATTAGGATGGCAATTTCCCCAAAACTGATGTATAGATTCAACAAAATTCCTATCAAAATACCAATAGGCTTCTTTGCAGAAATTGACAAGCCGATCCTAAAAAAATGCAGAGCTTTAAATGTATATTTTAGAAATCTCAGCAAAGATTTTGCTTTTGTTTTCACTTTTCTCTTTTACTTTTTGGTAGAGTACTAACATTTCTGTGGAAAGGCAAAGGACTCAGAATAGCCAAGACAATTTTGAAAAATAAGAACTAAGTTGGAGGACTTCTAATTCCTGATTTCAAAACTTAATAGAAGACTACAGTTAGGAAGGTAGCATGGTACTGGCACAAGGATAGTGATGTATATTAGTGAAACAGAAGTAGGAGTCTAGAGGTAAATCTTTACATTTGTGGTCCGTAGCAATTCAGTGGAGGAAAGGAGAGTCTTTTGACAAATGGTGCTGGAGCAATTGGCTGGCTGCAAGCAAAAAGATTAATTTAATCCTAAATGTAAGGACTAAAATTATGAACTTCAGTAAGTAATGTAGGAGAAAATCTTAGTGCATTGGGCTGGGCGAAGAATTTTTAGATACAACATCAAAAGCAAGATCTATAAATGAAAAAAATAATAAATTGGACTTCATCAAAGTTGAAAACTTCTGTGTCAAAGGACACCATCAAGAAAGTGAAAAGGACAATCCATAGAAAAGTGGAGGGAATATTTGCAAATCCTATATTTGATGAAGGACTTCTATCCAGAATGTATAGAGAACTCTTACAACACAATAATAAGAAGACAAACAACCAAAGTAAAAATAGGTGGAAGATTTGAATAGGTATCTCACCAAAGAAGATAAACAAATGGCTAAAAAGCTCATGAAAAGATGCTCATTAGTCATTAGGGGTAATACAAATTCAAACCACAGTGAGATACTGCTTCCTACCCATTAGAATTGCTGTAATAAAATTGACAGAAAGTAACAAGTGGCAGTGAGAGTGTGGAGAAACAGGAACCTCATACATTGCTGGTGGGGATGTAAAATAGTATAGACACTTTGGAAAACAATTTGCTGGTTTCTTAAAATGTTCAACATAAGCTTACCGTAGGATCCAACAATTCCACTCCTGAGTACTGGGCATCTACGCAAAAGAAATGAAGCCGTCTGTTGACACGAAGACCTGTACATGAATGTTAACATTATTTATAATAGCCCCCAGTTAGATACAATCCAGATGTCCATCAACAAGTGAATGGATAAACAACTTGATATATTAGTACAATAGGATATTAATCCACAATAAAAAGGAATGAATGACTGATTCGTGCTACAATATGGATGGACCTCAAAAATGTTATGCTAAGTCAGGGTCAGCAGTGTTTTTTTGAAAGGTCAGATGGTAAATATTTTAGGCTTAAGAATCCTATGGTCTCTGTGGCAACTTCCCAGCTCTGCCCTCAGGGCTAAAGCAGCAGCAGGCAA